TGTGAGTAGTTGTGTGTAGTTGAGTAGTTGTGAGTAGTTGTGTGTAGTTGTGTTGTTGTGAGTAGTTGTGTGTAGTTGTGAGTAGTTGTGTGTAGTTGTGTTGTTGTGAGTAGTTGTGTGTAGTTGTGTTGTTGTGAGTAGGCGTGTAGTAGTTTGCCGTCAGTGACTCACTGATGCCCGCTCCGGTGAAACTCCTTCCTCTCCCGTTCCTTTCCATTTCCTCCTGTGCTCATTCTCCTCCTCTTCCTCCTCCTCCTTCTTCCCTGTCCCTCATCCACCTTCTCCTTCCCCCTCCTCCTCCGCTCTGCTACCCCTCTCCTCCTAATCCCCTTCCCTTCACAACGCAGATCTAGCGTAAAATACAAAGTTAACGACTCACAATCAACGCACATACTAGGTCAACACACACATAAATGTTAGAGCGACAACGGCCAACCGTAGTACCGTACCAGCTAACGACAGTTGAGATAATTGGAGACAGATTCGAAAATTAGAGACTGTTTGCAATGAGTACACGCACGAGATACGATAACGTCCGGTGACAACCGTAACGACAAGAATATTTAGGATATTTTCAAATTTCCAGCGACATCGTCACGCGACACTTCATAAACAGCCAATCACAGCCCTAGATAATGTTTTTAACGACACGTGACAAAAACATTTCGTATCGACATTCGGCTGTTTCAGCTGTTTGAGGATTGCGATGACAGACCAGTGGCCGTTTATGTGCTCAGGAAAATTCGGTTTTATAAGATTTGGGGCATTTATTGTGCCTTTAAGGTTGCCTAGCTAACAGAAAACATTTGGTTATCCTTAGGACTGAAAAATCAATGGTAAGCCCATGTGATATTCACCAGTCTCGAGTTCACAAACTTAAAATGACCGCCATTGTGTTGCGGGAAAGGAGACAAACTTGACCTAACGCTAGTTGGTCGCACGCACGCACGCACGCACGCACGCACGCACGCACGCACGGACACCGTAGCGCACCGTGACACGAAGAGTGCTTATCAGGCACTCAGACCCACCGCCGCCACCACCGCCATCGCCACCATCGCCGTCATCGCCCCCGACATCCCCATCACCACCACCATCAACACCATGCACCGCCGCCGCCGCCGCCACCACCACCGCTACCACCAACAGCAGCAGCAATAACAATAACAACAACAACAACAACAACAACAACAGCACCTCTGCTGCCGTCACCGCTACTGACGCCACAAGCATTCCCTCCACCACCACCACCACCGCCACCACCACACTGCGCGGCGTGTAAGAGTACGCTCTGCACAAGCAGCCGACGTGTGTAGGCACAGACACACGCGCACCACGTCGACCTACACCTACACCTACACCTACACCTACACCTACACCTACACATACACCTACACATACACCTACACCTACACCTACACCTACACCTACACCACGTCGACCTACACCTACACCACCCCTACACCTACACCTGCACCTCGTCGTAACCTGCACCGACTGCCACTTTGCCGGTAAAAGAGTGGCAGCAACTAGCGACCGGGGAGCGCGCTAGCATGGGGCGCATGCACGTCGGCCCTACAATAGCTCACTGACGGAGCG